GATCCAATATTAGACACTAGTATCCAATTTAAAACATCAGTGCCCAATTTCAGATGCTAGCATCCAATTTTACAAACTAACATCCAGTTTTGAATACTTACATCCTGATTTTGACACTGATGTTCCATTTTGGGCATGTGTCTTACTTTTAACACTAGGATCCAATTTTGGACACAATTAAGTGTTGGATTTCAGACACTACTGCTCAATCTTAGAAACTACATGTATTTTCAGATTTTATTTTGTCTGATTTTTAACTCATGCATTCGATTTTGGACAATGTCAGCTGATTTTGGACATGCTAGAGTCCAAATTTGGATCCTAGTGTCCCATAACAGTTTAAGTATCAAACCATTACATTACTCCTGACTTACTGAAATATTATTTTGTTCCTCTTTCTTCAAATAACAAGATATTATACTTACAAGATTAGAAGGAATAACATTTGTTTCAAAAGGTGGCTTTATTCCAAAAGCTTCATTGATTTGCCTCATCCTGTCAGAACGGAAGTCAATAAAACAAAGGACATCTCCATCTGAAGAGAAATAAATAGCCAAAATAATTCATGATGGATATCATAAGCATTTAACTGATAAAAGTAACTAAGCTTTTTTAGTAAAAGATATTGCAGTAATACTTTAATGAGGAAAGCAATACTTTTACTAGAAGATAAAAAAAAATTAAATCAAAATCAAAATCAAAAATTAAAAGTTTGTACCATGTGATTTATAGCAAACTGTGTTCTTGCATCTTATGGTGAAAAAAATCAAATATATACTGTCTATTAATACTCAGTTGCTTTCTCATCAGTTTTAAACACTCAACACAAACCTCTTATTCTTCCTTCAGGGTCCACAATAATGGGTTTCAGGAATTCATCTGTTTCACGCTTGTCTCCTTCTGCTTCATAGCGACCTTTGATAACCTTAAATGAAAAAAAAAAAAATCAAACATAATATAAACAGAGACAATTTATAAACAGCAGGTGGAGGAATTGCATGCCTAATTGAAGGATCTTTGAGCCGCTCAGATACACCTTGCACAGTCTAATCAGTCAACTGTCTGTCTTTACCTCAATAACTTTATCTGGTGTGGTTTCTTCACCCTTTCCTTGCACCAAAGCTTCATAAGCAATCTGGATTCTCTCCCAACGCTTGTCTCTGTCCATTGCATAGTAACGGCCCACAACTGTGGCTAGTGAGCCATAATTGATGTCCTTCAGCTTCTTCAAGACTTGTTCCACATATGTCACTTAAAAAATGTTAAAGTAGAGATTTTGTTACTTCTTTCATTGATGGGTTTTACTCCTGAGAACTAATTGTTAATAATCAATTCAAAGCTTCAACATCCCTCCCTCAATCCAGTATTTGAGTATTTGAAGATTTGAAGATTGGTTTGTTCTAATTCCTATCCCTGCTGGGAGCAAAATTGTGTTTGAATGCCCATACCCAAGTGTTGGATTAAATGGTCAGTTTTCTTCTTTAATTTTAGAGGCAAAATCAGTGACTCTGACTTTCTACTCTTGACCAGGCTTTCAAAAACGAGACCTTGCAGACCTGAATGAACTCTTTACCTTTAAACATCTCCATATTTAAAGATACACTTGTATTCTTCTGAAAAGACATGACACTTTAGGTTCAAATTCCCCATCCCAGGCACAGATAATGGTCAAAACATCCATGGGTTGCCCAGAAAAGGAGAGAGGGGGATGGGGTGGGGATGTTGAAGCCTCAAATTGATTGGCACTTAATTTATGACACTAGTTATTATCATTATTATTACAATTAATTACTATTGGATGGCCTGGTGGTGAAGTAGCTTCCTTCAATATATTTTGTACCTCCACTGGTTGGAGATGTGTCTCTTCCATCAGCGAAAAACTGAACATAACACTTGGGAACACCAAGCTCCTTAGCTGCATCAATCATTGACTCTAAATGATTGATGTGGGCATGGACACCACCATCGCTGACCTGTAGAAAAAAAAAATTGCCTATAATGTATACTTTCACATCAAGTGTGCAAGTACAGTCCCACCTCTATCATCTGGGTTTGTGCAGACTGGGCTGAACAGTCTGAATAATTGAAATTATGATCCATCAAACCTTTTTTTGCTCATATGCAACTCAGGTCTAAATGCAGCACGTACCTGAATATCCCCCAGCTAAAACTAGGTGATATCCAAGAATATCAGCCAAATGAAATTCCCCAATGTTCAAACCTTGAATCCATCATGATACAGTGTAAGCCTTCATTTAAAATATTTAATTAGATAAGGGAGTGTTTGTGGTTGTTGCAGAAGAAGGAAGATATCATTTTTTTCATGAAGTTTGTAGCTGCAGAGAACACTCCAAAGAACACTTCCCACCCTGCTTACAGTAAGTTGTTTGTAAACATTTTTCATGTGCATGGCAAAATATTAGAAGGACAATAAACACAATACCTCCTTACTGAGCCTAAAATAAAACCAATATCATTTAATCAATATTATCCAAGAATTGAAGGACATTTTCACATCATTGTGCATCCTACCAAAATTTCCCAAAGTACCTACAAAAAACCTTTAATTTATGACAACCAACATTTTACAACCTAAAATGCTGACCTAAATCAGTTTGTTTCAAGCTGCTACTAACAATGTATGTACATTGCTAATTCTAGTATTCTCTGAAGTTGTATTAATTTAATGGAGTAGAATCAACACTGATTCAGTACACTGCTTTGTTTGATGGTAAAAAGCTGTTAAGGATCTCAGATCTGACTAATTAATTCATATTGAATTCATAAGAAAATGGGACCAGAGAAGTGAGTCCAAATAATCAAAAATCTGTGTACAGTGTAAGTGATGTTCAGATGTTTGATGATCGACTACTTTCAATTTGGTTGATCTTAGCAGTATAAAGGGCATTGTCATCTCTGAACCTTACATGTATGTATGGCCCCACTCAACAATGAATTTGCACTGGTAGAGCATCTGACTGCAAAATCCAAAGACCCAAGTTTTGTTTCCTTTAGCAGGGCTCACATCTTTTCCTTATCTCACTCTCTTGAAAAATGAATGACCTCTTTAGACAAATTAAATATTTGTCCTGTGAGATCTAGATCAAGATTACTTCACTTGATTAACAACTTAACCCTTTAACTCCTATGAGTGATCAAGACAGAATTTCTCTTTACAATATCAATACAATATCAAGCAGAAAAGTTATGAGAGTAAAGGAAAAGATTAATTAGGGGATTATATGTTGATCCAATATCAAATTCTCCAAACTAACATTGCAGCAACTATATGGCAGACAGTAAGGAGAATTACTATTGAAATCTTGGGAGTTAAAGAGTTAATTGTTGATTATTAGTGTATAGTTTAGACATATATGAAAGTGATCTTAATAAGACATGGTTACTCACCAAACCCAATAAATGAAACCTTCCATTAGAAGCCTTAGCTTTTTCTGCTGCTTCAGCAAAAACTTTGTTTTTTGAAAACTCCTTATTGTCAGAGGTCATGTTAATTCTAACAATATCCTACCGAAAAAAAGAACAAGCAATAATGTAAGGCATGAGTGATTAAAAGTAGCCATAATTTTAATTACAAATGTAATAAACAAATTTTATAAGTGTACAGATTGATATGGACCCTTACTATGTCACTGGCTTAAACATACCCAATCTCCATGGACTTATTAACAAGGACCATCTCCTTTCTACAGTGATGTTTTTAGACAGATTATTAAAGGATGTGTCTACAGAACACTTTGAATCTCCATCCAAATCACTGTGCTTCAAAACCTTAACTGGCTGTGGGTAATTTGATTGAGTGTTATTTCATGATCCAATTTTTTTTGCAGCTCATAAATCTGAATCAAATTCATTTGGCAGTTTTTTTTTTAACAATTAAGGGTCCTAAAACAGTGTCTTGTCATTGCCTAGGAGAATAACCTGAATCAGATATTTAACTTTCATGCATCATTGTTGCCTTTTGATACCTGATTATAATTATAATGAGCTCAGAGTTATTTTTGTATTTTGATTGGCTCCTTATTTTGATCCACTGGAAGACAGACATATAGATGACACCTCCATTAAAAACTTTATGCTCCTTTTTAATCACACATACAAGACACCAAAGTGTGATAAGAACATCAGTGACACACTCAGCTGTGCCTTATGTGCCCCTCTTTTGTTGTAACCCTATTTGGCATCATCTACAATTGATTAAGCAATTATTGGAAGAGGTTGTGCATAATATCATGAACTATCAATGCCAAGATCTGAGTTATCTACCAAAGGAGAAGGCTGAGGTAGATAACACAGACGTGAGGTTTAATAAAAACTTGGTGAATCAAATATTTTTTTCTATTGTAAATTTGCTAAACAATCTGCAGAAGTCAGACACTTCTCTCTGAGTTCGAAAAATTTTGAGAATACTACATGTGCATGGATGAAGGGCTTGGAAACTAGCCAAACTTTGAACTTGACATGATAACCCAATATCTGTTACAGATGTTGGGTTATCATGTCAACATCAAATACTATTGACTGCATGCTCTCAACCAATCAGAATTTCTATAGTAAGTCTAATGTGTTTTAACATTGAATAAACACATTCCCCCTCCTTCCCTAAACTCTGCTACTGATTATAAAGGATCACTGGTAATGGTAATGGAACTCAGTAGAATCCAATTTGGTGTGTAATCTGAGTGATTAACAAAATGGGACGACCACCAAGCAGGAGTCCAACATGTTCATTATGAGTACAATTACAGACAATATTGGGCAACACAAAGTCCTATTGCCAATTCATCAAAACTGTGACAAAATTTGAGAAACAAACTAACCATTTATTGCACCTCTGTAAGATACAATTAATTCTGCAAAATGCATCATAACAGCTGAGTGCACACACATGATGCCTACGATCCAATTAGATAGCCATGACACTTGCACTGTCTAATTACAAGCATGATGCATATGCTGTCCAATTAGTACTCAAATCTGACTGGTCATAACCAATCATGTTTGAGAATCTTATTATAGCTTTGATTATACGGATAATCAAGATATGATGGCATAGTTTCCTATATTTCACACCTGGTACAAAACTCTTCCAGCTCCAATATTCAGATGTCCTACTTCACTGTTACCCATAAGTCCTGCAGGTAAGCCAACTGACAAACCAGAAGCATCTAGGGTGGTGTAAGCATTGTTTTGTCCAGTGCAAAATGCATCCATGACTGGTACCGTAGCATTAGCAATGGCATTTCCTGTATGAAGGCAGGTAAGTGAATGAGATTGCATCACACTCTGACATTATTTAAGTTTTAGCATCACTGATTTATTTCCTTTTTCCACTTGGTTGTTTATTGAGTACAGTTATTTATCTCTGAAAAAATAGAACCTACAAACAACATCAAATTTGAGTGTAGGATATTGATAAGATACAGCACCCAAAGGCTTAGATATGACTGGGGTATAAATTTTCAAACATGTATTATTAATTTTAACCCTTTAATGTCCATGAGTGACCAAAACAGAATTTCCCCCTACAATGTAAATACAATATCAAGCGGATAAGTGATGAGAATAAAGAAAAACATCAATTAGGGGATTATAAGTTGATCCAATCCCAAATTCTCCAAACTAACATCACAAGTACTGTATGACAGACTAAAAGGAGAATTACCATTTAGATCTTGGGAGTTAAAGGGTTAAAAAAATGTAAATATCATGGCAAAACCAAGTTTAAATCTATAAATCTATGTAAAAATCATTCTCTGGTTCACAATTTCAGAAATGTTACACGTTTGGTCTCCAGTCTTCAACCCTTCAGGTTTAAGAATGGAAGCCAAAAGTTTTCATGTTGCTAAACATTTTGACATTTTCAAACACTGAACGCTGAATTCTTACCAAACATTCGTTACTAATACACTCGAGATGTCACGCAACAACGAGTCTGGATTCGGAGAACTACTGTGCGCACAAAATGCTTCGGTTCGCAATCTATGAGAATTTGATTGTCTGTAAACGTTTTACTACTCACATTAAGCATTAGAAATTTATGTAAAAATCAGGAACATGGCGATATTCAAATATTGACATAAAAATATATTAATGAGAGTCAGAGCGTGACGTGACAATTCTGTCAAGTTCGCACACTAAAAAATTACATAAATTTTTCAAGACCATGTTTATGTTCATGAACAAAAGCAACATATTTTTTAAATAAACATTTCTCAGTATCAACATCGCCGAATCAATGAAAGTGAAGACATATGTTCCAAACATGTACAGTACATACAGAATTTATCAATCGATCGCACTACAAATTGCTGAAATGAAGTCCACAAAAATATATGTTTTGCCGACATGAAAACAGCTGGTACCTTCTTTGTTTTCAGAGATGCCCCAGCCGTCGATAACAATTAAGCAGACATTCTTTTGAACTTGAACCATAATGAATTAAAGTTCCTCTACGAGAGAATCCTACAACAGAATCCTACTAAGCAGGTCAGAAGTCCGACACCGGCCGGTACCTGCTCACGGTGCATCGTGGGAAAGAACACGCGCGCTCAGAGTTCTGGGAGATTCAGACCCTTCCTTTTTGAGGCCGTTAAGTGGTGCACTCGTTAGCATTTATCGCATGCTCGTTGAGATACAAGCTGCAATTTCTTTATATATTATTGCACATTTTGTTACCACACAAGTGACCTCTTTCCCACAGGCAGGTTTGTTATCATAGATTAAATGTGCCCCTACCCTACGAGCCCTGCCTTGCACTAATCGGAAAAGGAAATTTAAACCATTTAGGACAATTATTATTGTGCGATTTTGACGGTAATCAGGTAAAAAAGTGGCTTTTACCATGACAATTGACCGCTTAACACATGATGAATGTGAGATTCAGAGCGAACAGAACGTGTGCGATGCTTAAAATATCATGTGAAGCACATGTGATTTCGGCCAAAGGTGGAAATCAGCTGACTAGCTCGCTATGTCTGAAGAAAACAATACAGAACATGTTTTTAACAAAGAAATTACCCAGAAAAATTTAAACGTAAAGAGTAGATGTTGTGGATCGTTCTATATACTGTAGACAGAGCAATTGACTGGCTTCGCAGTGGACAACGAAGATGGCTGTATCGTCTGTGTCCATTGTCTATAATGCAGATAACTGTATCTCATCACTGTGGACAGTGTCGACCACCGTCGATAGCTGCATCTACCATAGACAACGTAGACAGTTGTAACTTCTGGACACAATATTAGTTAAGTGTTAGAATGTGCTCATAGACGAGTTAATATACATGAAATAAAAAATACGTGTTTGACGAGGCGTGAGGTCAAGATGGCTAGATATTGGCCGAAATTTTTTGGTTTGCGTTTACGAATAAAAGAACGAGGCTACTATCCAGCCATCTTGACCGGAAAAGCTTGGTCAACAGAGGGTTTTACTTTGTAGCGAAAATATTTTACTTTAACACGAATCAAGAATATAAGAGCGAAGAAAAAAAAGCCAACTGTAATTAGAGCACCGAATAAACTCCTGAGAATTGTTTATGCTTTCTCTGTTTGACTTCCTTCTACCGCTTTTTACACTCCAACGCGGCATTGTCCAAAAACTACGAACTACTTAAGTCTGCTAAACATAAAATTTTTTCTTGCGTGGAATCAAAGCGGGCAATTCCGAGCGGGCAAGATGGGGTCATCTGGCTCGTTCGGGTACCCAATGAGAACACAGGATTCGCTTTATTATGCCCACTGGCGCTGCTAACTATCTAATAAGTGATATGCTGTTCTCCTATGAGGTATGTACCAACAAGCCTGTTCCCAGGCTACAACTGATCTTACACTGATTTCACTGCTATGAGTGTGAAAACAGTATCAAAAAGGAAAACTATACCAAATCACAAGACGTAAATTAAACTTATTGATATACGTACTTGACGAATCTAATGGGATAGAGGCATGAATTATTTAGCAAGGTTTCTTAGGAGGGCTGCAATTCAAATTTACTTTCTCCGTAAGGACAAAACATTAGTAATAATTTGAGTCAGCGTTATTGAGGTCGCCATGAGACCAGTTCTAATCGGGTAAATCTCACAAGACTGTTAATTCGTCCCAATTACGATTGCGTGGGAATTATAATGACAACACCAGGCCCAGGTTTATTTATAAGAATTCCCTAAGAGGTTATAAGATTAATTTACGTACACAATGAATTAGGACGAAATGTTATGGTGATATTTTGATTGCGCTCATTGAGGGTTACCATAAGAACACTTTCACGGTTGTTATCATCACATTGCAAGGTCGTGAGGCGAGTCCAAGAAAAAAAGAAGCGTAAACTCCATTTGGGTAGAATACAACTTTCTTTTGAAATAAAGATTCGTACTCTAGGGCTGAGACGAAGAGAATTTGATGGAACCCAAATGCCGTGATTTATCGTTCGGTTCTGCTTAAATTGAAAACATTCTCTTAAATAAAGCAGAAGTTAGAGAATTCGTTAATTGGTTTTGACTAGGCTGTTCTTGGATTCAATGGCGGATATGGAAATACTGATTGAGGAAAAACCGGAAAATGATGTGATCTCAGCATTCTTATGGACAATTTTGCTCGCGCTGACGCTCTCAACGTCGCTAGTCTTAAGCAAGGGAGGATAAAACATACACTGCTTGTTTAAATTCTCTCGCTGAGAAAAAGACTTAAACTGTGAATTAGCATTAACACCAAAAGTGTGCTTAAAATGTCTCAACTACAGAAAGGATTTCGTTTCGAAAAAGTAAATCTAAACAGAAGTGATGTCTACGTAAAATGCTGATATCTGACTCTTCATTGAATTTTCGAAAATTTTCATGTCTAACTTTAAGAGTTATTTTTTTTATTTACCTTATCTGATTAATCACAATAAAGAGTTTCCATCGGGGACATTAGGGAGCATCAAATATGGGAAAAAAACTGTAAAATGGATGTTTTGTTTTCTCATCACAAGGGCACCTGCGAGGATAAGTATCCCTGTGTTGAAAACTGGACCGAGAGTGTCACGTGGATTTTTGTATGTTTCTTACCCCCCACGAATTGAACTTTGAACTCTTGATGAAAACTCTAAAAAGGAAAATGAAAAGGAATGCGTGAAAGCTGTCTTGTATATTGTTATTCTGGAATACGGTCTTTATTCGAAGTTGTCCTGTTGTATACGTTTTATATACCCTGCAAAGACGATGAAATATGTGTAGCTGACCACAGGGCAGATACTCATTTCTGCAAATGTGTCATAGGTAGGTTCAGATCCCCTTTAAAAAGTCAGCAGCTTTTTGTGTAGCTGATGTACATTTTATGCCAATGTCACAAAATTCAAATGGGAAGTAAAAGATCTGGAAGACTCTATTACAGCTAGCTTTCTCCTTCAATCATAGTCCCCCAACTAAGTAGTTTAGAAATAAGGAAAATTCCGACTCTAGGAGCATAGGACGTAGGTTTTTACGAATTAATGGATATCTTAAAGCCACTGGAGTACCGTGGACAATTTGATATTCATGGATTCCCATTGTAGGCTGCCCCAAGAACTGTCTTGACTATTATCAAAATGGTTCCAAAACCAGCGGTGTGTACTGGGTTTGCCCTGATGAAGAAGAACCATTTCAAGTTCTGTGTGACACTACAACTGACGGCGGAGGCTGGACCACCTTTAAGAGGCGCATGGATGGCTCTGTTGACTTTTATGTCGACTGGGAATCATACAAAAAAGGCTTCGGAAATCTGGAGGGCGAGGTTTGGCTCGGAAATGACTACCTTCGCCGTCTCACTGCATCTGCCAACATGTTGTTCCGCACTGATACGGAAGATTACGAGGGTGACCGACGATTTGTCGAGTATACCGCAGGCGACTCATTTGTATCTGGGAGTAAGCCCATCATGTATGTGATAAGCATTTCTTTATCAGTTGTTTGCATTAAGAATATTAGGTTACTTAAGCGGGAAATTTCGAAATTTCTTCCACCTAGAAAGTAGTATTGAACTTGCATAGTTATTGACTAATTCTGCTCGCAATTACTGCCTGTGTTAAGTTTTTTATAGAATGCTGCCTAAGTAATGCTTCTCGCTGTAATATAAATCATTAAAAGGACATGTTCTTTTATGACCACAACATGTAATTCTGCTTGCACATACCCTGAAGACTCGATGGCCACCACATGATAAAGCTCTATTGCTAATCATAGGACAGCAGTGTTTTT